GGTACATGTAGTAAGAGATGGGCACATGTATGTGTAAGCTGTACCTTCTAAACTACTGGTTACATCAAACTGCCGTGAGAACAAGGGGGGGGCAGGCATCTTCATCACTTCTTATTTCCCAGTCTGCCTCAGTTTGCCCATCACCAGCCACACTGGTTTACCCGCAAACATCAAGGGCACCCGCCGCTTCCCAGCTCTAACTGCAGCACCAGGTGCAGCACCTTTATTTCAGTAAAGCCACCCTCACACCATCCTGCATCACTCCCGTTCCTCAAACTCTCCATTCCTAGTGGCTGTGTCATAGTGTTTTGGTCCTAATGACAGTCTTGCACACTCTGACTTAAAACCTTCCAAGTTTGTCTTGCCCACTCCCAACTCGTTCCCTTTTCCTTCCAGTTTGTGATGCTCAGGCCACATCGGCTCCCTCCCAGGCTTCCTCTTCCACTCCAGGGTATTGTCGCTAATGAGAAGCCCCACCCCACTCTAAACATCTTCACGGATCTGCCTCCCGCTCTAGCGGTCCCTGACCTTCGTTCACTGTCTACAGCCTCGCTGGTCTGCCCTTTCCTCTGGCCTCTCCCAATCTCACATCCCTTTATTATTTGATCAAGCAATTCAAGGACATAGCACAAATAGAAGGCTCACATCAGGTCACCTCCTCTTGGGTAACCGTGTCTGACTGTCGGGCATCTCCAGCACACAGGAGAGGAATGCACATGGAGATAGCCCTTCTGCTCCTGTGTAGCCCGCTGTGACATAGGCATGAAGAGATACATAGCTCTGTGGGGGAAGGCACTTTGCATATATAAGTGGACTGAGCCGAGGTTTAGTCCATTCAAACATCCTGAATGAAGAGCCCAAAGGTGGAAACAGCTCCCTGACCCGATGGCATGCTCGGACAGAGAAAAGTTGTCCCTCGGAACCACATGACACTATCTGTCTAAAAAGCAAGGAGATTCTGATCCACACCTCACCCTGGAGCACACGCCAAGTTCTGAAACAAGCTGCCAACAAAACCAACAACCCTGCAAGGTCTCACTTATGTGAGGTCCCTGGAGTAACAAGTGGTGGCTAGGGTCACTGGAGGGGAACTCATGCTAAATGCACGCAGTGTCTATGGTGCAGCTTAAGGACATTCTGGAGATGGCGATATAGAATGAGACTGCCTTGGACAATACCTGGTCACATGAGACAGCAAATTTCATGACAGATGGCTTTGAACACAATGAAAAGAGGTCTCAAAGCAGACGCAGGAAGACATTCTGCATGCAACATTAAGATCCATGTCTCAGGCACTGCAGAAGGAAAATTGGAGGAGGGTCTTGATTTTGTCTTGACTTCTATGTTAAACTGACTACACTTCCGATTGTTTTCTATTATTGAAGAGTCACCCATGAAGCCACAGACCTTCCAGGTCAATGCTGGAGACAAAGGAGGTGAGGACAACAGGATATTAACACTTTCCCTTTGTCTGCCTCAGAACAGGCCGGCTCGCTGAAGAACTGGCCCAAGAGAGCATCCAGCAGCAAGAAGATTCTGAACCTCAGCATGCCTCTGTGGTCCCGGATGCTGCAGTTTCCTCCAGCCATGACTCAGGGCCTCTTGTTCTTGTGACAGAAACTACTGTTCCAAGCTTGCTAGGTCTAGGTCTGAAGGAAGAAGACAGGAAAGAAGCTAATGTAAGGCTGTTTCTTCACCAGCAAACCCCTTGGGGAAGTTTCATGGTGTCAAATGAGTATTCCTGAGGATAAGATGTGCAGAAAAAGAGAAGGAAACATGACAAGAGACCTGGTCCTATTCAACCCTAGTAGACTGGAATCGGAGAAACCTTTTCCTGTCCTAAAAATGAAAAGGGAGACAGAGGCAGTTGTGTGAGAGGGATGAAGGAAGGGAGAGTTGCAAACCAAACCTCAGCATGTGCGCAGGGAGAAGCTTTATAATGGAACAATGAAGCAGAACTTAACTCTCCCTCTTTAATAGGTGAATAGTTGGCACGGTATACAGTTCACCCATTTAAAGAGCACGGCCCAGTGGTTTTTAGTGTATTTACAAAGCTTTGTGGCACTAGCCTTGCTCTAAATTTAGACCATTTCCACCACCCTCCACCCTACCTCACCAGGAAAATTGCCCCTGAATGGTCCCTTCCTCCCTTCCCCCAACTCAAGCAATTGCCAGTCCACTTTCCCTCCCTGGCTTTAACTATTCGAGAAGTTCCTGGAAAAGGAACCTGCATCGGTGACCCTGTGAACACACGGGAGTCTTTCCCATTGGCCATGGTGAATAATGCTTTATTGATCTTCCCCCACCGGCCTTTGTGTGCACAGCTGTTTAGTTCCCAGCCTAAGCACTTCCTGTTAGGGCTGCTGAGTTGTAGGCTGACTCTGCTGGTTCCCATCTGTTTTTCTAAGTGGTCCTTATAACAAGCACAGTCTGAAGCAGGGTCTGGGACCCTGGTGAGATGCGATTCGCGTTCCACCTTAGACAGCACTGAGTTGAGCAGAGTCATCATCATAAGAGGCCAGGCCACATCCTGGAGGTCCTTTGAGAAATTGGAACAACTTCCACAGAAGAACTTACACATGAAAGTTCCCAGCAGCCTTGTTTGTGATAGACCAAAGGAGAAGCAACCCAACTGTCCATGAGCTGAACAATGGCTAAGAAAACAGTGGTATGCCCATACAAAGAAGTGTTACAAGACCATGAAGAAGAATGAAGTGCCATTACTTACTGTAATGCAGATAAAAATTGAAAAACAGGATAAGGAAGAACCTTCACCAAAACCCACAGGCTGTCTCTCCAAATCGTTATGAGATGGTTCCAGAACAGCAAATGTGTGGAGAGAGAGGTGGAGCCATGATCACTGGAGATTGAGGAATGGAGATAATGTAACAGGGAGAGTGACTAAGGCAGGCTCTTAGCCATGTCTAAGTTTGCAGTTTGGTAGCCCTGGCTATATTCAGGGTTGAGCAACTGTCTTTATTTATAGTCTATTTACAAAACATTTTCATTATCCAAGACAGAAGCCCTGTGTCCCTTAAGTAATCAGTCCCATACCTCCTCACCAGGATCAGGTGGTCTCTGAGCCACTTTCCATTTCTATGTTTTTACCTGTCTTGGACAGTTCATGTTAGTGCATCGTCTAGACAGTTCATGTTAGTGCATCGTCTAGACAGTTCATGTTAGTGCCATCTGTCATTCTCCTCATCTTAGGCTCATTTCCTCCACCCTTTTGCTGTCAGGATCCATCCACATTATTGGACACTCCAGAACCTAGTCCATTGCTTTGAGAAGTGTCAATTCCAGTCCTTGCTCATTTAGTGTTCCCTCTCTGCCTCTTTGTTATTGAGCTGGTATTTTATACTCTGGGTAGTCGCTTTTATAGGGCATACCACAGCATACAGATATTTTCTCCAATTCTCTGGGCTCTTTTCATTATTTTGATACATAGAAGTTTTTCTGTTCCCTATGCAATTGTGCATATATGTATAAGCATGTATATGTGTGTGCATGTACTGTGTATACATGTAGAGGTCATAAGATCACCTTAGATATCATTTCTCAGGCACTTTCCACCCGTCTTTATTTTTGTGACAGGATCGTTTGCTGACTTGAAACTCCCAAGGAGGTTATGATGGCTGGCCAGTGACCCTTGGAGACTGGCCTGTCTTCACCATTACAGCCCTGGGTTACAATTGCACAATGCCACACCAGGGTTTTTATTCTAGAACTGAGGCCTCCATCTGTTTATCAGCACAGAAGGCTTCTCCACTCTCTCACTGTCATATGTGACATATGTCATGTCCCCAGATCCCTTACTCTATCTAAAGTCATACAGACCTGCCCTTGTATTCTCTTCTGTTTTCCTTAGCTTATGCTTGGGTGGCTGATACACTTGGAGGTAAATTTTGTTCATGCGGCAAGGCCGGTGACAACTCCATCTTTCTGCATGCGGCCACCCAGGTGTCCAGACACTACCTCTGAAAAGAACATTCTCCCCACTGTGAATGGACATGGTGCAGTTCTTAAAGATCAACTGGCCACACTTGTGGTTAATTTCTTCTTGGTCTTTGTCTGTTCCCTAGTACATATGTCCATCCTTATACCTGAGACATACTCTTTTGATTACCATTGTTTATTTTGCTGTTGTTTTTGAGACAGGGTCTCATATATCCCAGGCTGGTCTCCAACTCACTCACATACCAAGAAAAGACCTAAAAAGGATCCTTCTCGTCTCTACTCCTAAGTGTTGAGATTCCAGGTGAACACTACAGCACCCGGGTTTTAAAATGCATGTTTATTATTATGTATGTGCATGATTCATCTGTGTGTGTGAGTCCACGCCACAGCATGTGTGTGGAAGTCAGAGGACAGCTTTGTGGAGTTGTTTCTTTCATCCTACCTTTGACATGGGCTTCAGCAGTTGAACGCAGGTCATCTGGTTGTGTGGTAACTGACTTTACCTACTAAGCTATCTCTCTAGGTTACAATGCCCAGTGTTTTAAAATATGTTTTGGGTTTTTTCTCTTTCTTTCTTTCTTTCTTTCTTTCTTTCTTTCTTTCTTTCTTTCTTTCTTTCTTTCTTTCTTTCATCACTAGATGAAAGCCACACCCCTTCCAGCCCCAGCATCAGCAGTCTGCAGCAGAACCAAAGGCCTACCCCTGTGGACACTTACACACTCACTCCTCTGGCCACATAAACAAGATGCCCAGGGTCTCTGTCTGTGGGGCCACATGGGACTCACCTTGTGGCCACCCCTCTGTGGCCTCCATTTATACTTAGCTCAGACCTTATGCCCTTCTGTGAGCCCCTGGCCCTGACTTCTCTCCTGCCTCTGGACTTCTGGCTGCTCACTCACTCTGACGGCTCCTGGTGCAGGGCTTGGGTTTTGCTACCTCCTTTTCCGCTGGAGAGGAGAGCAGTTTCCTCCGCAGCCAGAGCCTTCTTGTGTTGACTTAGTGGCTTCAGCCCTCTCTGTACATGCAGCCTGTTCTCCGGAGCAGAACGACCTCCTTCACTATTTCCCCTGCTTCTGGCGTCCTGACCGCTGAGCTGCCCAGAGCCTGAGGTCTTCTAGAAAGCTGGATTACAGAGGGCTCAGGTAACCATAAACCTATCTCTAGCGTATCTGGTCTCTTTCTCTAAGAGGCTTATGTACATTCTGTGTCTATGGCCTCATCAGTTCCCTAGTAGCCGGCAATCTAGCAGCTGTTGGTGTTTATGGAGAGATCATGGGTTTTCAGCCATGCTGAAGATGTGTGATCCAAGGCTGAGCCCTGGGGAAGTACAGGCTGTCACTAGAATGCTCAGCTTGTGGGAAGTTCTTTTTCCACTGCGTAGATTCACAGAGCCTTGCTTTCGTTTTCATAAACAAAAGGGCATTTCCATCATCTCGGGATACACATCCCGAAACCTCCGGGGGCTCACCCAGTGAGGGCAGGATCAAGCAGGCAGGCTTTGGTCTGGCGTTGCAGGACAGACCTCTTGTTTGCCAGCCCCTTTCTCATTTCTTGAACTTTGCACTGCAGAGGAGCTGCTCAGAATGTTTACACCAGGGTTTGCTTCCCAGCATTCAGGAGTCCAGCAAGCTTCTGTCTGTCTTCAAGCGTCAGCTCTAACGTCAAGGTCTCTCTCTTACTTACGGTCTTGTTTTCTTCTCACCTTAGAGCGATGTCACAGATGAGACTGCCTAGCCATGAGAAGCAAAGCTGAGAGTCGTTTAGAACAGCTAGCTTTATCTTTCCTTCCCAAAGCTTTTATTCTCTTCCTTGATTGCAGCCATGAAGCTGAGCACAGAAATCCTGGCTCTCTCTCTCTCTCTCTCTCTCTCTCTCTCTGAGAACCACCACTTAACTTGACTAATGATCTGTAAATGAGGAACTCAGAGGTGCTGGCGGGAAAAGCCTAGTGTAGATCTTTGCGTGGAGCCATAACAGCAGACTTTGTAGGCTGGCCCTGTGAGATGGCTCACTCACAGATGGAGTGGCATGGCCATAGAGTACAGCTGCCCACCGTCATCTCAGGGTCTCAAGGCTACAAGCTTCTTGCATGGAGCCTGGCTCACTTCAAGTCAGATCTCCAGAGAGTTCTGTTGCCTGCTTTAGAAGTGCCGCTGTCATAGGTCCACTGTATCAGAAGACAGCCAAGATTCCTGGGTGTATCTGTGTGTTTGCATGCGGGGTAGGGAGATGAAGGGGGTGGGGGTGGCCTTTAGAGTTTCCCTCCTGGGGATGACTGCCCTAAGGCCACCTGCATGTACAGGTCCAGGGTAGCAGAGTACACTGAAGCCTTTCTTAGAGAGCAAACCTCCAGCATGAGACATGGTACCGCAGTACCTGGTAGTCACTCTCCAAATAATACCCACGGGTCATCGGTAGCATGCTCTGTGCTAGGACCTCTGAGAAAAACAAGAAAGGATGCTAATCAAGCCCAGCTTGGTTCCAGCTGGATCTGTGACAGCCTTTCTTATTTTTACCTCCTGATTCATCAGAAACCTATGATGGGGGTTAACAAGTTCTCATTTCAGGTTCATCAACTAGAATCTCGGATTACTTTTAAAGACAGCCCAGGCTGGGACCATTTTAATGAACAGACCTGGAAAGCTGAGGAAATATCCCATGGAGATTGGACTCATCGCCTGTTGCTGCATAGGACAGATTTCTGGAGCTTAAGGCATGGAAATCGGGAAGCTTTTACTATCTCAGGGGCTCCGTGGCCAAGGAGCAGGCTGGGTGTGGCTATTTGTCTCTGATTTAGGATTAGCCCCAGGCTTCAGTCTCGGTTCTGGCCAGCACTGCAGTTCCTTGGAGACTCTCCTCGGGTCTGATCTGCTTCCTTGATTGCTATAGCTTCTGCAAGCTCTCCAGACTATACGTCAGGACCAAAGGATGAAGAATCTCCATGAGATCCAGGCATCTCGTGATGTGATGTGGCAGTGTACTTGGTCTGAACCTTGGAAAGGGAGAAAAGCACCCCGAGATGGCAACTGTGTGGCAGAACAGACAGGAACCCCAGTGCAGTGTGACGTGAAGAAGCTCCACACAGGGCTCACCCTGTGCACCTGGGCCCTTGCTCCCCTATCTACACCCATGGAGCAGGGAAGAGGCCGTGAGAAGGGACGAGCTGGGACACCTCCCTCATAGCAGGAATTCTGACCACCTGGCAGACAGCTGAACTCAGAGCAGGGAGCCTGATCCCAAGGCAAAGACATTGACCACACTGCAGGGACACTGACCGCACTGCAGGGACACTGACCGCACCAAACCCACTCTTTGTCAAAAATAGGAAGATAAGCCTTGGTTCTGGAGGATCACTTCACTTTTCAGTCAGGGAAGTCCTTATTTTACAAACGTAAGGATCTGAACTCAGATCCCCAGCAGCTGAGGGAAAATCCAGGTACAGTTGGTTGTAATTCCAATGCCGACAAAGCAGAGGTGGGAAGATGTCTGGGGCTTCCTGACTTGCTTTCAGATAGTCTTCTCCTCTCTTACATTGTTCAAGACCCCATGCCTAAGGAAGGGTGCACCCATGTCGGGCTTCCTACATCAGCTAACAAGATAGTACCTAAACGACACACTGAGGAGTCAGCTTCATGTTGCTGATTCTTCAGTAGGACTCTAATATGACTCTAGGCTGTGTCCACTTGGTAGTTAAAACTAAGCAGTGCGCACACACACACACACACACACACACACACACACACACACACAATCACTTCCCCCCAAAAAGGATATCTATGTCAGACCAAAGTAATGAGTACACCAATAACAGAAGTACGGGTGAGGAGTTTCTTACAAGGGGCAGGGTCAACTCAAAAACAAAAATAGACAAATAAACCAAAAACCTAAGCGTCGTTACTGGAAAGCCCACTTCAAAGCGGGTGACGGCCCAGTAAAGCTGCAGCCCCGGAGCTCTCCGCATCTCGCAGCAGCTCCACAGTTGCAATATTATTTTTCCTTGTAGTTGGCTGGTCAGAGTCCCTTCTCCTACCAACTGTGTATTCTTCCTCATACTTCCGTCCCAAAGCCTTCGAGAATAGTTCAATGTTCTGTTTTCTCAGTCACCTATGGATGGTGACTGGGATGGGGCCAGTGATGGAGTCTGCCCATTGCAATGCTTTCTATGCAGGTAGCCATTGCTATTCCTGTACTCCACACCAAGCTTCTGTTCAATATCATTTTGAGCTTTCAAGCTCCCAATTCTGTTTGGAATTTATCAAACTACACAGAAGATTAGCAGTTAAGCAAGGTAGGCTGTGAGACTCCTCCAATAACCCTGGAGCCCCAAGACTTGCAACTCCTTTGCATTTACAGACTCTGGCTATTGTAGGGGTCTTTTCTTTCCCTTTTTCTTTTTTCTTTCTTTTTGTTTTTTTGAGACAGGGTTTCTCTGTAGCTTTGGAGCCTGTCCTGGAGCTAGCTCTTGTAGACCAGACTGGCCTCAAACTCACAGAGATCCACCTGGTTCTGCCTCCCAAGTTCTGGAATTGAAGGCGTGTACCACCACCACCTGGCTTGTGTTTTTTTTTTTTTTTCAAGGACTGCTGAGCTATCGAGCGTGTCTTCTGGTACTCTAACACTCCCAGGAATTTTACAGCTGTACAAGGGCTTACATCTCGTGTGGTGGATTCATCTCCCGTCCCCATTCATTTACATGCCGTTCTCTCAGAGACGCCATGTCCTTTAGATGTCACTCACTCAGGTGCACCATTGTGTCCTTTACAGACTCTGTTCCCTCAGGTCCACATGTATGTTCTTTTAGCTGCTGTTCTTGATCTGGAAGACACTCAGTGGGGAGCATCATGTCATTGATATAATGAATCCTTTTGACAGAGGGAGACATAATAACAAAGCAAGGTCTATAACCACCTTCCCCTGACAAACAGTGGGTACTGTGACGGTGACCTTGGGGAAGTACTGTGGACATCCTCTGGTGACCATTCCATGTGAATAAAAGTGAGTCTTAGGATCCAGCAGCTAAAATAATACTAAAAAAAAAATGGCAAGGCCTGGCATAGCATGGAAACACCTCATCACTTGTACCAGCTGTTCAAAGAAGAACTATTTTATAGAGACACGGATGGGAGAACTACCTGACTTGACTATAATTTAGTCATTCTCCAGGAGCCATGGCTTTTTGACGGGCCATACTGAGTTATTGAGAGGGCCTCTGAGCTGGATAAATAATCGTTACCCCTTACACTTCTCTAATAGTTTCTGTAATTTCATCTTGGCCTCCCGGGTAGTCTAGACTGTTTGGCCTCCGTCACTCTTACTCGTGTTAGGCAATTTTGCAGGTTCCCGTCTTGCCCAACCACGCATAGCTGGCTTCATCGTCTGCATTCCAAGGCAGAACTCTCCAACAGTTATACATGGGGTGTGGCCCAACAGTGCATCTACCCCAGGAATGTTCTCTTGCAGTGGGGAATGCACACAGTACTGGGCTGGAATACCTCCTTGCCCCAAGAACAAACAAGTCCCTTTACCTGTCCTGGCATGTCCCTATATCCACCCACTGTGGCCCGTTGCCCCTGGTGCTTTTGCCATGAACTGAGGTGTACTCACCTCCAATCTCCACCACAGCCCAAATATTTAAAACATTAGTGGGGGAATCAATAAATCAACCTGAGGCCTCAGGTCCCTGTGTGTGTCTCTCACTGACAGGCAGCCTCAGCTACCTCAGCACGGGAATGTGTTGGGTGGCTTCCCCTCTGGAACATCTCGCATAGGAGGTGCGGTGGGAACCACCTGTACTTCCCTATCTTCTATTTCCTTTCTGGTTTGCTGAGCTGATGGTCAGGCATTAAGGTCTCCCAAAGACCCACAAGCACGGATTTGGCCTTCTTATAATTTTCCTAGGAATCCTAGCTGGACGCCGTTCTTGTCATATTTGCCTCTGGGTAGTTCAGACGGGACTCATGGTCTGCTTACTCCTCTCCTCATCTCCTCCCAAGAGTGTTAGCTCTTTACAAACCTGACACACACACTGGCATAGATTGTTCAGATTTTTGCCAAAGCCTCTCCGGCTAGACTGTACATCACTACGAGACTCAATAAAGCCACCACGGCCCCATACCAATCGTAACAATCACATTGAAAGAGCTTTTGCTGAGCACCAAACCCAGCTCTTCATGGTCCTAGGTCTGGTAGCAAAGCCTCTCATCCCCGTTGCTTTCCATTCCTGGACAATTGACAGGGACTTCCGATGGAGATAACCAAGTGCCCTAATGACTCTGATAAGCCCGTCTATCAGGAACTACTCTCCCCCCCTCACAGCCTCAGGACACTGTCTGCATCTTGAGGGGTGGGTAGTAATATTATTCATCTTTTTTGCCTCAACAGCAGTCGGGCTGATCCAGTGCATGTCCATGTCCCGCAGTCTCACAAGCCAGAATGTGACTGTCTTTTTCTTTGCTTGTTTAAAGGACTTTCCCAATTCTATCAGTTCAGGGGCTATTATTCTCTGGTACTGGACCATTGTTCAGATTGGATGTTAGATCGATTCTTTGTTCTGTCAATAGTCATAGGTATCTTTTCACCGTTTCTACCATATTCTCCCCACTCTCTGGTTCTTCCCATGGTTTCCAAGGTCTTAGATCCCAGGAAAGGCCTTTCAGCAAGGATCCAACCTATTTTCTCCTTATTCTTTTGGCAACATCTCTGTCTCATCCTCTGATTTACCTAATTTACTGGCCAGAGCAGAGACTACCATGAAAAGGGACCATGGACAATACTAGGCGCTACTTCCCTGTCCCACTCCAGTTTCTCCCTTACATAAACAAGCTCCTGTTGGACTGCCACGTGGGCCTCAGATGCATTTCTAACTACACAAAGCCAGGGCCAGGCAACCTCTGTAGCCCCTTGCAACCAATCTCAACCCTTCCATGCTACTCTTGGATGCTTCAAAATTCTCCCCAAGCCTGTGACTGTTTTAAGGACATCACCATACCCATGTCTAGATGTCTCTCCTCAAGCAGACATGCCAGCTCATACCACCCAGGCAGAGACCGCCCTCCTCAGACTCTCCAGCTTGCAGTGGCTCGGCCTAGTTGCATGCCTCACTGCCTACAGCACAAGCTGTGCGACTGCTACCGTAGCAGAAGACCCGCTCTAAGAGAAAGGGCGGCTGTATGAGAGCTCCCTCTGTGGACGCTCCAACTTCCGGCTGCTCAGCCTCTGTTGCAGGGCAGCCATCACGCCACCCAGGCAAAGGTTTTCTCCACCTCTGATTCCATCATACTAGGGTACAAAATGTCATACAACAGATCTTTCCCGGACAGACACAACACCAACACCTTTGTCGGCTCCAGAAAGGAAGTCCGCGAGACACCAAATTAATGAACACACAATTACACAAGTGTTCAGTTTGGTGAGACAATGAAGTTTTATTGGGGTTACTACCGGGAATATTGATGAAGGGTTATGCACAAGGTATAGCAATGTCTCTAAGGGAGAAAAGACATTTCTATCGCTGGAAAGCCCCCCTGAACATGGGTGACAGTTCACAAATGCTGCAGGTCTGGGCTGTCTGCACGGCCTGCAGGAGGCTCTGCAGTCTAAATGTCTTCTCTGAGTTTGCACCAGAGTTTCTTCCCCCAGTGATTTGAAGGGGTATGTGATAAAGTGCCTTTCTCCAAGGAGACAGGTTGTCAATCAGCCTTCCTTCAATGTACAAATCCAGAGATATTCAATTTATAACCATGGAAGTGTAGTGATGAGGAGCTGCAGGCCGGCCTGCTTTTCATCCCGCCCAGCTCCCGCATGGTTGGCTTTACACCCGAAATAACAACATACAAATTGTATTTTTTTAAACACTGCCTGGCCTGTTATATCTAGCCTCTTCTTGGCTAACTCTCATAACTTGCTTAACCCATTTCTAACAATGTGTGTAGCACCACACCGGGAAGGATTCTAGCCTACGTCCATCTTAGGCTGGAGCTTCATCGTGTCTGCTTCACTGCCTTCTACCCAGCATCCTGTTCTGTTTACTCCACCTACCTAATTTTCTGTCCTATCAAAGGGCCAAGGCAATTTCTTTATTAACCAATGAAAGTAACACATAGACAGATGACCCTCCTCCATCACGGAAGAGTTATCTGAGCCCCAAGTTTTGGAGGCTTCAGTCCATGATCTGGTCTCCAACCCATCTAGGACCCCACAGTGCCCTACACACCACACCTATCAGCACAGTTGAACATATTGGCACCTCTCATTTGTGCTTCCAAAAGTACAAGAAAGGTCTGTGTGCTCTGTGGCCTGAGTTGCAGCCATTGCTGACTAGATTATGGGCAGACTACATCAGAGGACACTGTGGGATGGGATGACTAAGAACTGTGTGCATGCAGCAGCCGTGTGGAGACAGGGGAACCCTGTGACTCATGGGGTTCCTGGAGGAGGCCCACAGAAGACCTGGACACCTCATGTTTCCACTTCATTGTCTGTATTCCTTAGGACAAAGGGTGTTTTTACTCTGGGAAAGCTTTCTTAAGGAAATGGAGGTGTCTGACTCAAAAAAAAAAAAAGGACAAGTTACAAACCCTACATTGAGAGGAGTCAAGAGCTTGGCATTTCTAACGATACTACTGTTTTCTGTTTGGTTTGCAGGCATTCCAGGGTGGGAAGAAACTTGCCTGACAGAACATCCACCAACACAGGGTGTCCTGTCGCAGCAGAAAGGAGCCTGGGAATCTGTGGGGACAGTTAGTGCCACCTGGACATCTCTCCGCTCTGCAAGTGAGGTGACAGAGCCTTATAGAGAAAAGTGAAGCAGTACATGGAAACCGCCATGCGCTGTCATGCTTAGACCGTACAGGTGCCTATTCGGAGGACTCCATTGTGAGGAAGTCCTCCTCCTGTGGAATGAGAGCAAAGGGCAACAGTGGCCATCACAAAAGAACGGTCATTATCCCTGCAAGAACAACAGAGAGAAATGAGGAGCCCAAGTTGGAAGGCCCGAAGACACAAACAAATGTTGTATGCTTTTTCCAGATAAATTTCCTGGTGTGTCTTAACAGCATTCTGCTCCCAGCTTCCGTGAGTGATGTGGACACAGCCCCCCAGTGGTTCTGACTGCCTGTGAGTCCTGTGCCTAGAGGCAGCTGCATGAACCCAAGAACCCACAGGGGTGCTGTCAGCCACAAGCTGGCAGGCCCCTTTTCTGAGTGGCTCTTTCTCAACATCTTAGTGCTCTGTAGCCTTAAACTGCGTGGTTGTAAATGTACTGCCCTCCGTCACCAAGCATGCTTATGAACGGACTACTCATCCGTGAACATGCTTATGCTCCCTAGATAAAATCCCCATGCTCTTTTCAGAGGAGTACGTCCACTTTCAAAGGATTCCCAGCAACTCTGTACCTGCTGCGGTAAAGTATTAAATCTTTCCCCACCTCTTTATGTACTATCATCTGCTTGACTTGTCTTTGCACTCATGGGCAGGAGAGCCCTTGGAGTTAAATTATAACACCTTCTAAACCATCCGGGTAGCCACCAACAGTATGCATCAATGGTTGAGTTCTCTGTTTGGTTAGAACTTGTGATCTCAAATGCAGCCTAATTGAGCTGTGGCTCCTTTGGGGCCAACCAAGTCCTTTAAAGCCAATGAGATTGTCCATGTGGACGTTCTCAAGTTCCTCATGTTCACATTAGCAGTGACCTGGGACGGGAGGCAGAGAAATACTACCCTTCCCCCGGTGATTCTGTTCAGAGGACAGGGCTCAGTGGGAGGATACATCCTTAAACCCTTTCAAAGTTGTCTGGAGAAGCTGTGTGGAAGAAGAGACATGGGTGACCCTTTTGCTCCATGAGAAGACAAGCAGAGACAAAGGAGAGAGTTTTTTAACAGTCAGACCCCCATGCGATGCTGCCCAAGGGGATCCTTTTTCAAAATCCCAGATCTTATCTAGAAGAGAGGCTATAGTAACTCATGTCTAGAGAGAAATTGTTTTGTCCCCTCCACAGCTAGCCCCTGTCTTGCAGGCCCCTGTGAGGCTGGGTCATGTTCCAGAGTACCCGGGAAACCAAGTGTCAAGACTCCACAGTAAGAGAAGCTAGATGGCCCTCTGCAACCAGTGCTGGACAGCGCAGATCAAGGAAGCCCTGGCTAGAGGTTGCAAGGTTTGGCCAATAGGCTGTGAAAGAGGAAGAACATTCCAGGCAAACGGACAGCCTGGTACAAAGTCCTGTGTTCCCCAGATCCAAGGCCACAGCCTCTGCAGAGAACAGCAGGTTCGTTTCCATTGGTGTCGGAGACTGTGTTGCCTAGCACAGTGGACCTCACCTGCACTCTGCTGGATACACTGGGACAGCAGGTGTGACTCTGATACCCAGTCCGAGTACCAGTCCACCGGGGCTCCGAGTGGCGGGGTGAGGAAGTACAGACAAGCCACGAGTGAGTGAGCAGGTTTGGGGGGAGGGTCATTCCTCACCTAATTCTCTGCTCTCGGGTAGCAAGCAAAGATGCATACATACAGTTCATGCCCCCCTGGGCTCCTCTGTCCTCTGCAAGTGGGGAGAAAGATCCTTACAGAGAAAGGGAGAGATAACTCATGGAGTCTGCTGTCTGTCTTCATACCTGAGAACTGCAAATGACCCAAACCTAAAGAAGGCTCCATCCTGAGGCTGTGGCCATGGGCTGGGTGCCATCCACTGAACAAGGGACCCTTCTCCCGGGGTCAGAACGAAGGGTAACAGCAGCCATTGACATAAGAGTGTCCGATGACTTTTTTGCTTCTTTGTCAAAAATCACGTGTTCAAAGATGTGTGGATTGTTATCTGGATCTTCTATTTGGTTCCTCCTCTCTGTTCTTATGCCAATACCAGGCTGTTTTCAGTACTGTAACTCTGTAGTAAAGTTTGAAGTCAGGAATTGTGATGCTTCCAGAAGTTCTTTTATTGTACAGGATTGTTTTTGGCTATTCTGGGTTTTTTTGCTTTTCCATATGAAGTTGAGTACCGTTCTTTCAAGGTCTGTGAAGAATTTTGCTGGGATTTTGATGGGCATTGCGTTGAATCTGTAGGTTGCTTTTGGTAAGACTGCCATTTTTACTATGTTAATTCTGCCTACCCAAGAGCATGGGAGAGGCTTCCCTTCACTACAGCTCCACCCTGCCTTGGCACCCCAGGGTAGGAGCAGATTTGCAAAGCAGAATCTTGCTGATGAACCTGGCACATGTGGGAACCCATCAGGAAGAAACCCTCCTCTCCTCATGGATACTATAGAGGGCATGAGGACCAAAAAACTGGCAGGAACCCCATCAGGTACTCATCCCCTGCACCCGCCAGCTCTCCTCTTCAGGGGAAGTTTGTTCCTGCTTGTTCATGGCCCCTGTCCCCACCGAAAACACTCATCCCTTTTCTCCCAGCTGCCTGACTGGAATCTCCTCTAAACAGACAGTCCCCCTTTTTCCTTACTGTGCCCCATGCCCCTTCCCCCTACAGTCTTCTTCCTTTTCTGTCTTCCCCACATGCCATCTGCCCCCCTCTCTCCTCTCCTCCCTTTAAAGCCCATCATCTTCCTGCTAGGTTCCACGTTCCATCATGAGTGACACGGGTGAGGATGAGACGACAAGCTAGGGAAGGTCCCTGAGCCCAGTGGGACACTTCGTTCTCTCACTGTGGGTGTTCCATCCCACACACACTGCAGAAGCTGGAGAAGCATAGGTTCATAAGGTGGAAGCCATGTGAACCACGCCCCCCCCCCACACACACACAACAGTACCGGAGACACAGAGAACTAAAGGAGGAGGAACTGTTAGCTCAGACCCAGCAGCTAGAGGAGGGGCAGAGGAGCTTGCGCCCTGCTTCCCAGGGGTAGCTGACTGGTTATCGGTATTTGAGCAGAGAGCCTCCTGGAGTTCTAGCCTGGCTCCCTCTTGTAGCTCTCAGTCCAGATCGTGCTGGCCCCAGCCAGCCCTGTGGCTTGATGACCACAGATGTGGGGCTGTTTTTGCCCCTTGAAAGGAGACACAGGCAAAGGACTCTTAGGATATGGACACCGAACAGACTATAGCACTGAACTAGCCTGCTGTACCATACATAACCCTCCACCCCACTCCTCACTCCCGAACCTGTGCTCCGGTTCACCAAGCCCTTCTCTCTTCCCTTCTCAGTCCCTGGTCATGTTCTCAGCTGTCTGCTGCTGGCACAACTTCCCCAGAATCTACATAAGGGGGGTGCAGGGAGAAAGTTCCTTCTAAGGGTCATAGACATCTTAGGGTCTTTGCATCTATGCATGAGTGCAGCCTGCCAGCGGAAAGGAGCCTTTAAAAAGCAACAATCAAGTGCATAAGTGAATGTTGGACGTCACACCTAGGCTGCATTTCCTGTGAGACAACATTTTCCTCTCCTTGTTGTCTCTTACCTGGGAAAAGTGCTCTTTTTCTATGAGATAAAGAGGCAACAACGTTGAGTATGACGCCTCCTTTCAGCTCCTTCTAGTGGTGTTAGAGGCTATGGGTGCCACCTGGGGCTAGTGATCACTGATGATAGGACCCAGTGATGGTTCCTCAAGGGACCCACACCTGCCATTTTATTTTTGATTTTCCCATCGTGGGGAGGATCCATGGAAGCTATACCATCCAATGATGCCCCACCGAATCTTCAATCAGTGCTGATCCCCTTAGTGCTATGGGTGCTGTTGGCATCCATGGGGCTGGGTTATAAGGCCAGCAGCATAGGAGGTCAGGCAAGTTGGACCTTGAGGAATCCCTGCTCTGTCCTTTCTCATTGACCTCTTGCAGTTGGCTCTTCCAAGACAAGATGAAATTAAGAGGGAGGAAGTGGTGAGGGTACCTGTAGGGCTCATGTTTGAATGGCACTTCACAAACTTTCCTGTGTGCCCGTGGCTTACTCAGTATTTCAGTAGAGTGAATGCTCCTGGGACATCATTAGGCTTTCTCTTTCCTACAGGTTTCATGACTCCTTGGACTTTGCAGCTCATGGTGCCCATGGCTTCCACAGTCTTGGTGACTGGAATTATTGGGATGATTTCGGGAGGGGGGGACAACTGATGGCAAAGCTTTGTCAACAAAATATAGCCATGGGTGCCTCATAAGTTGGCCTGTGGTTATCCTGCCCCCAGAACCTACATCAGGCAAGTAAAATATAAGGGTTTTCCAGTGTTTCACATGGTTGGTGGCCTTGAGTGTCCCCGACGAGGTAATGCAAATATGAAGGGTTCAGTGCCTCGGAAAATGTGAACCTAGAGACCATAGTGTAAATTAGTATGCCGAGACTCCACGTGCTGATGCTCCCTGGGTCCTCCAGTATCTCCCGTGCTAAATAAGAATGTGTGCACCCGACTTCTTCCAACATCTGGCTAGTGGTGACTTTTATGGCCTCTTCCAAGTCATAAAAAGTCATCATTTGAACACTGACTTCATCCCCCATCTATGGGTTCCAGCAAAGATCTCACCTTTCTGGGAGGTCTGCTGTGGACTTCAAGCATCTCAAGGTTTCTCAGTGGTATTTGATGCTAGGATCACTCTGGCCCCAGGTAGTCATTTTCTGTGCATTCCTCAAGGCAGACAGATACATTGTCAGTGAGCCACCATCACTTGAACAAATCTCCAGACTTAGCTTGCTGGCAGAGGAGGTTTCTTGGGCTCACAGCTTCGAGCTCCACTCTTTCCATTGCTTGGGGACTGGAGTGACACATTGTGGCCAGAGCATACGGCAAAGCAGAGTCACTCAACTTCACAACCAGGAAACAAAAGGAAGAGGAGAGAGAGAGAGAGAGAGAGAGAGAGAGAGAGAGAGTGAGAGAGAGAGAGAGATCGCATGAAACATTGGGATTCTACAGTTCTTGTCCAGAGAACTCCCTCAATGACCCAAAAATCTCTCACTGGACCCCCAACTCCCAAGAACCCCCCACATCCAAACAGCATCAAGTTGGTATAGACAGCACCAACTTTTCAATACTTGGGCTGCATGAGATATTCTATATTTAAGCAATACCAGTGACTTGAGAGAGGCTGGGTGAGATGCCCTGAGCCATTGCAATATACTTGCAGGCAGCCGGGTAGCAGAGGCAACAGGAGTGTAGATCTACTGCGGGTGTGAGGCTTGCTGGCACTATCTCCAAGAGACAGGTGGGCTCTTGGCCTGCTCCTCTCAAATTCTTTACCCATAGAATCCTACACAGCTGCCTCTGGAACAGCCAGAACACACCCCTCTAGGGCCCAAGCCTGTGTTTTGTTTCCATTTCTCTTCCCTTCAGACCACTTGATTTTCCCAACACATGAAATCTGAAGTTGCTTGTGCTTTAGACAAATGGGAAAATCAGTTCCATGTGTACACTGGCCATGATCAAAGAGCCGGGACTAAAGCTTCCATCAGCAGTGAAAACAGGTTAGCTGAGGGCTCTCCTAGCTCATCCATAGTGGCGATTTCTGCTTATGGCTTTCCGCTGGGGATCATGAGCTGCTGAGTCAGAGGACAGTAGCCTGTGTGTGGTTCCTGATGCCTGGGGGTGGAGAAAATGTCTGTTTCTTAAACTCTCTATTCCCAGGACAGGCATTGCTTCAGGCCCCACTGAGTTCAATAGGACAGCTGGCGCCATAGTGTTGGCCTCTTCACTGGGCCAGAAAGCATGAAGTAAGAAACAACCCTTGCATTGGCCTGGGGATAATCCTAGGGACCCATCCCCATTCTAGTTCACCCCCTGCATGGAATGGGGATACTTAGCAGCACTCTCGGCCCCCCTAAAGACAAGCATCAGAAAGACACTGGCATCGAGTCAAAACCTTGCACAATGGGGTTGGAGCATCCACACACACAAGTAGCTGGGTTTTACTACTTTCATGATTAAAGAAAGTTGATTTGGGTGAGCCCACTTTAGAAGTGACCTGACATCATAGGAACACAAGGTCAAATGAAACTCAGCAAGTGTCTGCAGAAGAGCTGGGTCCCAGTTCTAGTCCTGCCTGGTTCCTCTGATCCAAGGGCAGCCTCCCAGTCCCTGGTTCTTGTAGCACTTGGTCATCCTGGCCTCGCAGTATCCGCTGTGATTATCAGCTCCCCTGAAGTGGGCTCTCAGCATGTTTTGTTCCTTCCTTGTGTCCGCACATGCATGCTCTGTTCCTTCCCTGTGTCTGTGCATGCTCTGTTCTTTCACACTGAGACAAAATGCCCGAGACAAGGAGGTTTATTTTGGCTCACAGTTTGAGGGGATACAGGCCATTACTGTAAGGAAGTCACAGTAGGAGGCAGGGAAGGCATGCTGGTAGGGACAGGAAGCCAGCTGCTCAGAATGTGGAGAGCAGGGTCTCCACAGGAAGTGGTGCTGGGTTATAAAAGCTCAAAAGCCTGCCTCTGGTGACTCATTTCTTCTAGCCAGTATCCACTTCCTAAAGGATCCACAACCTACCAAACAGCAGCCCCACATGAAGACCAAATATTCAAACACATGAGCCCAGCGGACAGTTCACACTCAAGCCACACAGTACACCCGCCCCCCTGCCTTTCCTATCTTTGCATCTCTAATTTAGATGCAGTACATTGCTCCACTCAGGGGCTCAGGGCTCCCCTACAACACAGTTGAGCCACCAGATCAGAAGACCAAAGAGTAGACTGAGTTAACGCAGCCCATGGTAGCACACTGTAACATTTGCCAAGTAGAGGCAAGGAGCCTCTTGGGAGGCAACACCCTTATCCCAGTGCCTCCCTCTGGAAGCAAGTTCTGTGGAGGGGAACACACTGCACAGGGTCCAGCCTGCAGGCCAGTCACATCCTCCAGGGCGTCTCATGTCCCCACCCATCAGTCTTTTCCTAGGAATGATTCATCCTGTGATTAGTCAAAAAAAAAAAAAAAAAAAAAAAAAAAANAAAAAAAAAAAAAAAAAAAAAAAAAAAAAAAAAAAAAAAAAAAAAAAAAAAAACAGAGACACAAGAGTGTAGAAAGGGGATCTGTGGATTTGCTGCTTGCCAAAGCGGGGCGGCCTCCAGAGCTTCACCTGCACACTAGGGCAGGCTGCACCCAGGGGGCTTGCAGTGTGGAGCTGAATTGGGATTCACTCATTGGAT